TCATGACCCATTCTTGAAGGGCTCTTATAAAGTACTAGCCCCTAGCTGGGCAGTGGTGGCACATGCCTTTAATCTCAGAACTCAGGAAGCAGAGGCAGGTGGATCTCCATGAGTTCAAGGCCAGCCTGGTCTACAGAGTGAGTTCCAGGACAACCAGGACTACACAGAGAAACCTGTATCAAAATAAATAAATAAACAAGTAAACAACAGCAAAAATCAGTGAAATCAGTGATTTGTGCATTCCAAACAATTTACCCAATGGTCAAAAAGCTGTTAGGTCAGGTACAGAGGAAGGCAGTAAATGGTCCTAGGCTCGGGGAACACAGGAAGGGCAAAGAACTGACCTGGAGCCTATTGGATCTAAGCACCCAGACTCCAGACTGGTAGAAATAACACCTCCCTGCCTACTGTCCTTTGAGAAGCACATAAATTTAGTTATGATCACCTATCAGCTGGCCTATTATTGTGCTGAAATTTATTTTTAAAAGGAATCCTGTGTCATTGCTGTTGAGACACTGAATCATTTGGCAGAAGTGGTGGGTAACCATGGAGACAAATACCAAAACAGCAAGCAAAGCCCTGAAAGTTCTCGTAGGTGCTGCGGCTTCCCAATTTTCCCTCCCTTGTCCCTTTCCGGCCTCCTCCAGCCTCTGTGTGTGAAAAGGGGTGGGGGAGAGCTGGGGCAACATGGGAGAGGCATTCAAGACAGCACTGAGTTGAATTTCCTTAAAACAACCTGGGAGATTGGTTCAGAAGTCAACAAGGGATTCTGGATTGATTTATATATACAGTTGTGTCATTTGAGGAAGCAGGAACCAGATTTGGAGTCGAGAGTTTGAATTCTAGCTTCATGTCACTCTTGTGTGACTCTGGCAAACATTCACGTTCTCTCTCATCCTTTCATCTGCTAAAATAAGAGATAGCTGTGACATGAGTTTTCAGGTGTCTCAGCATCGCTGTCCCAACCCTAGGGTGAGTAGAGCACCGTCAGGACTGGGAGGGAGGGCCACTTCACCAACTCAAAGATAAAACCTCATACACATCAATAATCTGGTGACAGGCTAGGCATGGTGGCACACGCCTTTAATCACAGCACTCAGGTGGCAGAAATAGAAGGATCCATGAGTTCAAGGTCAGCCTGGTCTACAGAGCTAGTTCCAGGACAGCCAAAACTACATAGAGAGAGACCGTCTCAAAAAACCAAATCATCATCATCGACAATATCACCACCAACCATCACCACCACCACCATCACCATCATCTGACTTCAGGCATTCTGGGTCTAGTTATTACGGCTCACAACTGGCCTAGGCCTAGCACCTAGTTCCCTGAAGAGAAGAGTGAGGTCCCTAACATAGCAGAAAGAACCCTGGGCCAGACTAAGGTCTGTTTGTAGTGAAGAACCTACCACCTGGGGGTTATGAGGTTGGAATTCTGATGTTCTTTACTGTGGAAACCACAGTGTTATGGCCAGGCTGTGGGCTAAAAAACCGGATAACCGAAATACGTCAGGGCAGGCTGAAGAGCGCTGGACCTGGATTCAAGTCCTGAGTCTGCCTCTAGGACAAGTCACTTGATTTCTCTCAGCCTCGGTTTCCCCACTTACCAAAACAGCAGAATTGAAAGTAGTCTCAGAAATTTGTAGCATGCCTAACTCCACGTGGCCTACAGGGTACCTGGCACGCGGTAACTGCGGCTCCCCACCGTGGAGGCACTGTTTGTGGGAGCCATTAGCAGTCATCTGGTAAACCCACGTGAAAACTTGTGTCCAAACCGGGATGAGGCTTCCTGAGTTCACAAAACTACCTACTAGGGAAGCTAAGGCTAGAACCCACAGTGGTCCTCAATCAGTATTCCTCACCCCAGCTTCAGCGGCCAGGCAAACCCTCATTAGCTGCCGTTCACTCTGATAACGCTGCAGTCACTCTGAGAAAAGACTGCATCTGCGGAGAGGCAGATAGATGTGCAAGCGTTCTTCTGTTCTGAACACTGTTTGCGGAGGTTCCTGAAACCCTGGCCAACTGCTCAGTCCCAGCACAGTAAACTGGGAAACTCTGAGAACAAAGAAATCTTAATCCAGCACTGGATCAACTTCGACCCGGGTGTAGGACTCGCCTGGTTCCTTGGGCTTTTGTGAAATCACCTGGGGATTTTCCACTCTGGGTAGGTGTGACCCTGGCTGTTCTCCACCCCTCAGCCTACCTGGCCCTGCCTGTTGAAATCAATCTACCTAAAAAGGTAGATCTCCATAAACTCCCTTATCCCGGATTGCTGGGAGGGTGTGGCGTGAAGCCGGCTGTGAGTGACCCCAGGGACACACAAGCTCCTGCCTACAGACCCCCATTCCAGAAGCACAGAGCTCGGACTGACTGTGAAGCTGGGATCACATGGGACTTGCTTGTTTATAAGTGGTCACAGCCAGCGTGGCTGGGGCTCTCTTCTCAGTGTTTTTCGTGTGCTACCCATTGAAAGTCCTGAGGAATCCGTAAAGTAGCGACGGATATTATTACCACTTTCCCCTGAGCAACACAAGCTACCGATATGTCTAGTGAGTGGTGAAGGCACAGGACAAATGAACCCAGTCAGCAAGGTCATGAAAGGTCATTCATTTGTTAACTGTGTTCTGGAAGGGACTGTGTACCAGGCACAGGTGTACACAGTGGATGGAAACTTAATTTGGCACACCAGTGGACAGAAACAAAGATGGCTGCTCTTACCTGCATAGGTCGGGGTTATGGGGAGGGGCAGAGAACTTGAAACATTACCCACGAGTGAGCAATATATATGTAAAAAGGTGTTAAATGCTATGAAGAAAGGAAAGACAGAGCAAGGCAGGGCGTTAGGAGTACTGGGGGCTGAGATGTGTGTTCTAATCCTAAGCAGGCTGGAGGCATAGCCCAGTGGTACACCTCAGTAGCTTCATACTTGGTATGCAGCTCTGGATATAATTCCCAGCACTGTGAGACAAGACCCAAAACAAAGAATTTAAAAGATGCTGCTCAGGACTGGGGAAATGGCTCAGTTTGGTAAAGTGTTTTCCACATAAGCATAAAGTGCCTGTGTTCAATCCCAAGCACTCACATTCAAAAGCTAAAGGTGACAGTATATCTCTGTCATTTCAGCCTTGAGGAGGAGGAGACAGGAAGACCCTGAGGCTTGTGGGCTAGCAAGTCTTGCTGAATCAATCAGCTCCAGGTTCAGTGAGAGAGCAATGGAGAGCAAGACATATGAAGTCCATCTCTGGCCTCCATGTGCGTGGTCACACACACAGTGCTCCCCACACAGAGAGACACGCACGGAACAGGCTGCTCAGAAAATAGATGTAATTGCACATAATCCCAGTGCTCTGGAAGCTGAGCCGGGAGGATCCCAATTTACAGGTCAGCCTATGAGAGAGGAGCAAGAACATAGAGCCCGTGATAGAAAGAGAAAACAAAAGGCTGATAGTGACTGGAGGTTCTCACGGAGAAAGTAAGGTGAGTGAAACCCGAAGCAGAGCCAGGCCTGGGGGCACACGCCTGCAGTTCCAACACCCGGAGGCTGGCCCAAGAGTACTGCAAGCTCAGCACCTGCTACACAGCGTGCGCAGTGAGACCCTGTCTTGAAAGAAAAGGAGGGAGAAAGGGTAAGAGGGAGGGAGGGAATCTGGGGGTGGGGGGTGGGGTGGAGAGAGACAACGATCACAGGCAAAGGGACCACAGGCACAGACTATCCTTCCAGAGTGTCAGGATTAGGACTCAAGGACCAACATACATGGGTCCAACAAAGGAAGACCCTAGATGACTAGGGAAACAGCCCAGTTGGTAAATACACTTGCTATGCAAGCTCGGAGGACCTGAGTTCGGATCTCTGGCTTATTACCCCAGCACTGGTGGGCAGAGACGGGTGGATCTTGGGAACCCCCAGCCTGCCAGCCTAGCTGAACCGGCCAAGCTTCCAGTTCAATGAGAAACTCCATCTCCAGGCAGTAAGGCAAAAAGTGACAGAGGGCACCAATATCCGCCGCTGGTCTATGTGTGCATGTGCACACCTGTCCTTGGCCCAGCCATTTGAAGGCCACTGTCCAGTTCAGATTAGGAAGAGAGGCTCAGATTTGTCTGATGGACAATTAGAGCAGGTCCGGGTAATCGATGGGTAAAACATGCATACACACACACACACACACACACACACACATACACACACACACACACACACACACACACACACACACACACACACGTCATCAAAACTGAAGTCCGAGGCCAAATTGCTGTTGCGTGCTCATTATCCCAGCCCTCAGGAGACTGAGGCAGGAGAATCCTGAGTTTAAGATGGCCACCTGGGTCATGAGAGAATTAAGAGTTCAAGGTCTTCCTATACAGCACACCCACTGTCTCAAAAAAACTAAAACTAAAGCCAGGGTTGGTGGTGCATGCCTTTGATCCCAGAAGGATTACAGTGTAAGGTCTTCCTCAGCTGCATAACAAGTTCGAGACTAGGCTGGGCTAAGACCCTGTCTCAACAATAAAGAGAAGCGGTGTCCAGCCACCTCTAAAGAGAAGCGGTGGTCCCTAGGGGGTGTCTCTGTAAAATTGGTCTGGGCGAAGGAGGTGTTCAGGGTCCCGTGGAAGGGTTGTGTAGGAAATGCTGTGTCAGGAGAGGCCTCGTGTCTTCTTCCCACCAAGCTGCCGGCCTCCACACTCCATCCTTCTTGAGCGATCTTGGAAGTGCCCTTGCGCACTGCTGCGCTGGTCAGTGGCAGGCTCGCTGAGAAAGATTTCTTTCTGCTCCCACCTCAGCATCCCATGTGGACCAAACTGATCGAGAATTCTAGGATAAGGGGGAGGAGAATCGATGGGAAAGCCCAAAATGAATTTGTCTCTCTCCACTTGCAAAGATGGTACGTGCAGGCACCCTTAGGGAGCCGGCTGCAGCGGCGGCGGGGAGTGGACATCCGGTAGGGTGGGACACTTGATGGAGACTCGGGGACAGCTGCCGCAGCGCGCACACAAGAGAGAGCAGGCGCCGTGCGCAGAGGCGGGCGCCACCAAGCCGCTGCTTGCGCGCCCCCGCCCGGGGCTATAAAAGCCTTGCCACCTGCTGTCCTAGCTACACCGCGCGTCCGTTTGCCTGGAGGAGCCAAGCTACGGTCTCTCGCGGCAGCTGGCCTGGATATGGACCCTGAGACCTGCCCCTGTCCTACTGGTGAGCCCCCTCCCGCTCCTGCAGCACCTTGTCCTTTACCGGCAAAGAACCCCACTCCTGTGTCTTCAGGCGCAAGGGCATTGGAGGGAGGAGCCCCTTGTGGCTCATCTTTAACCCTGTGATGGAGATAACGGGAGTTGGCTACCCATCTACTTTCAAGGCCGGGGACGCCAGGTTTTCCTACTTTAACCCTTCGTGTGCCCTCTTAGGTGGTTCCTGCACCTGCTCGGACAAATGCAAGTGCGAGGGCTGCAAATGCACCAACTGCAAGAAGAGTGAGTGCACCCCTCCTTTGCCCACCCTCGCCCCGCACCCCTCCTTTGCCCACCCTAGCCCCGCGGCATCCGTCCCACCCCTGAGACACTCGGTAGCAAAGCTCCCTGCTGCAGACCTTCAGATCCTGCAGCGGCTGGATCAACCGATGTGAACACAGTAGGCCGGAGTGTGTGGGAGGGGATATCTTGATGAATTTCCGGAACACATCAAAAGGTAGCTGACCACAGCTAAGCCCCGGCTCGAGCCCCACTCTTCAATGTTTCCAGTGCCTGGGGAGCCCCAATATAGACTTTTGGGGGGGGGTCAGCTCCAGACTTGCAGTTCTTTGGCCCCTCTCAGGCCTTGGGGCTCTCCTCAACTTGCCCTCTCCAGCTCACCGCAATGGAGTATGCTTGGGGGAGGAGGGGCAGAGGTGGGAGCAAGGCTCCCTTCTCTCGGGTGTGACTAGGCAAGAATCCCATGGCTGTCCTGGCCTCAGCACCGTCCCTGACCCTCCAGCCTTATGGGTGGGGCAAGTCTCCTGCTTTCTCCTTAATACCCACCTCTCCCTCAGCCCAGGCCTGAGCCCGGCATTCCCAGGGGATGCCCTAGCACCCACCCAAGGCGCTGGGACTGTCTAGAGAAGCCCAGCAGCAACTGCAGCACCCCAGATGCTGTCAGACCTCACAGGACAGTATGGAAGGGACAGGCAACCCGTACTGGCCAAAGCCCGGTGACTCCCCAGCTTCCAAACTCCTTTCTCCTCCCCTTCGATGGAGACGGATGAGGGCATCAGACTGGACACACACACTCCCCCACCCCCACCCCCTTTTATCTACAGGCTGCTGCTCCTGCTGCCCTGCAGGATGTGAGAAGTGTGCCAAGGACTGTGTGTGCAAAGGTGACGAGGGCGCCAAGGCAGAGGCGGAGAAATGCAGCTGTTGCCAGTGAGGACCGAGCCCCTCCTCCACCGACTATGTAAATAGCGCTGGGGATCCGTGGTGGGGCATGACTATGGTCCCCTTCTCTGGCTGCTTGCTCGGGAATGTGAATAAATCCCATGCACAGCATGAACCGAAGACTGGTCTCTTTTTCAAGTGGGAAGGACTTGGAAGGGTGAGGGATCCCACTCCATGGAACTCATCCAGCAAAAAGAAGAAGCCTGAGATTTAGGCTTCCATCTGTTAGAGACTAGGACAGAGCCCTGGAGACAGTGCACGTATGTACACACACACACACACACACACACACACACACACACACACACACACGCATGTGGCACTCCATCCCTCGAAGTCCGTCTCGGTTCTGGGAGAAGATGGCAAGCCACACCCAAAGAGCTTTATCTTCCCACCCTTAAAACTTCATCATCTGTATGATGGGGCGACAGGTAATTAAAACAAGCCTCTGGCCCCAAACACTTGGGATTTCTGGAATTTTCTGGTTGTTCCTACAAAACTGCCAGCTTTCAGATATTAGAGGAGAGTCCTGGGTGGCCCTGGACTTCATCTTGGCAGATCATCAACTGTGTTTCCAAGGTCACCTCCCTGAATAGCCAGCCTGTCTCCCCAACACAGATTGCTGGTCGCTTTTCAAACCTCATTTGGTTTGGCTATTTGTCTCCAACTCCCCACCCCCACCCCGCCTTTTCAAGGAAAAGTATGGTAATAAGAACTTGTATCCTAAGATGGTCAGTCCTTAATGAAAGAGAACTCGCAGCCCCACCTGGGTGGCCTGAAACAGGAGAAATAGACAGTGGGGTGGCTGAAGCTACCCTGTGAGGGAATACAGGGCTGTAAACACATCAGGTTCCCTCCAACTTAGTTTTTCAGGACATTCCATTCAAAAGCTCGCCACCACGATTGCTGTGTACTCTAACAGGCTGAGTTTAAAGGGCAGCTTTCAAAAGATGCTCACTCCAACCGGCCACCTCCTGGTTCCAAAGCTCTGGGAAGGGATAGTACTGACTCTAGACTCGATCAGCCAAATACAAAAAGCCCAAAAGCAGACCCTTGGGCTGATGAGGTGGCAGCTCAGTGCATAAAGGCACTTGTGACCTGAGTTCAGTTCCCAGAACCCACATGATGGAAAGAGAATCATCTTCCAAAAGTTGTCCTCTAACCTGTATACAATCACCACGGCATGTGCATACACACACACACACACACACACACACACACACACACACACACACACACGCATGCACACACACACAAAATAAAAATAAATTAAAATGCAAAACCAGACCCCTGTACAGTTAGAAGTTGGAGAAAATCAACAGGGAAAGAGACACTCACTAGTTAGGGCAGGCTGTTAGAACAATTGGCCACCCTTTGTGTATCACAAACAAACAAATCTTAACCTATATAAACACAGAGAGGCAACATCAAAAGCTAGAAAGAGATTTGGGAGAGGGAAAACAGGAGAGTGTTTTTCACTTTGGGGTATAGCCACATTTTAAAGGAAAAAAAAGATTGCCACGTATGGTGGCACATTCCCACATTTGGAAGCTGAAGCAGAAGGTCTAGAAGTTCAAGACCAGCCTGGACTATGCAGCTAGACTGTGCCTCAAAAATTAAATAGTATGTATATTTGTGTGCATGTGTGTGTGTGTGTGTGTGTGTGTGTGTGTGTGTGTGTGTGTGTGTGTGTGTGTGTTTAGATGTGCATATGCACGTGGAAGTCAGACATCCTCAGCTGTCGTCCACCCTGTTTTCTGAGATGGGGTCTCACTGGAACTTGAGGCACTCCCGTTCAGCTGCACTGTCTGGTCAACCAGCTCCACAGATCTGCCCACCTCTGTCTCCTCAGTGCTGGAATTACAAGCATGCACCACCACACCAGCTTTTTATATGACTGCTGGGGATTGACAGATGGATGCTTACCTGGCGCTGTGTCCTTTAGGTATATTATCTTGCTGAACCTTACCACTCTATCTATCTATGTGGATGTTACATCCATTTTATAGGGGGCAGTGGAGCCCACGGTAATGTGCATAGGGGTCACAGCACTAGAATTTACCAAAACCAGGATGAGAATTCAAGCCTTAAGACTAGGACCCTGTGTTTAACTATGCATTGTTTTCAGTCTTCTGGCTTGTCTAACATTACAAAAAAAAAATCAGAGCAACTAATAACTTCTTGTCCTTTAAAGGTGACTAGTACGAAACAAACTGGGCCTGGTGTCACAGCCTTGTGATGTCAGCATTTGGAAGGCTGACACAAAAGGAGTTTCAGGACAATCTGGGTTATATAGCAAGAACCTGTCTCAAATACACCAAAACAGGCTGGGGAGATGCTTCAGCAGTTAAGAGCACTGGCTGCTCTGACGGAGGACCTGAGTTTGAATCTCAGCATCCACATAGCAGCTCACAACTGTCTATAACTCCCCATTCCCAGGAGACCCGATGCTGTCTACTGGCTTCCCTGGCACCACACACCCATGGTGCACAGACTTAATGCAGACCAAATACCTATACACACAAAATAAATATTTTAATTAGAAAACCCACAAAAATAAATAAAATAGAACAGTGTTGACCACAGTGTGGAGAAACTATGATCCTTGCATTATGCTGGTGGGAATAAAAACTTGGATAGCTGCTATGGGAAACAGTCCAGCTGTTCCTCAAAATTTAAAAACAAAATTATGGCCGGGCGGTGGTGGCGCACGCCTTTAATCCCAGCACTCGGGAGGCAGAGCCAGGCGGATCTCTGTGAGTTCGAGGCCAGCCTGGGCTACCAAGTGAGTTCCAGGAAAGGTGCAAAGCTACACAGAGAAACCCTGTCTCGAAAAACCAAAAAAATAAAATAAAATAAATAAAAATAAAAATAAAAATAGAATTATGATCCAGCAATTCCACCTCTGGGTAAATAGTCAAAAGAATTAAAAATAGGATGTGTTCCTTCCCCTTCCCCCTCTTCCTCCTCCCCGTCTCTCCCTCCCTCTCCCTCCCTTTCCCTTCCTCTCCCTCCCTCTCCCTCCCTCTCCCTCTCTCTCCCTCCCTCTCCCTCTCTCTCTCTCTCCCTCTCTCCCTCCCTTGCCCTCTCTCTCCCTCTCTCTCCCTCCCTCTCCCTCTCTCTCTCTCCCTCGCCCTCCTTCTCTCTCCCTCCCTCTCCCCATCTCTCCTTTCCTCTCCCCTCTCTCCCTCCCTCTCCCTCCCTCGCCCTCTCTCTCCCTCCCTTGCCCTCTCTCTGCTCTCACTCTCTCTTCCTCCCTCTCCCTCTCTAGCCCTCCCTCGCCCTCTCTCTCCCTCTCCTCTCACTCTGCAGCTCAGACAAGCTATAGAGTTGCAATCCTCCTGCCTCAACCTCTGAATTAGTTTCCTCATCCCTATGCAAAGAAAGCTTCAGGAAGGCAGGCTTTCTCTTGGTTCACAGTGAAGGCAGGGTCCATAGCTGCAGCCATGGCGACAGTGAGAGGCAGCTGGTTGCACCGCATGCATCCTCACTCAGAAAGCAGAGATGAATGCTGGTGTTCGGCTCACGGTCTCCTTTTCATTCAGTCTGGACCCCAGCCCGTGGGATGGTGCTCCCCATAGTTAGAGTGCGTCTCCCCACCTCTATTAACCTCATCTGAAAACTCCCTCACAGACCTGCCCAGAAGTTTGTCTCCTAAGCATTTCTGTATCCTGTCAAGTTGATAATCAAGATTAAACATGTTAATAATGAACCTTAAGTTCAACTTATAAGTTGAAAAAAAAAACTGCAGATCAGTATATGTGGAACAAATTATGTAAAAATGGAAAACAAAATCCACCATATTGATATATACTTGGATAGAGATACGTATGCATAGGAAGGAAATGGAATTTTCCTGGAGACTCAAGAGGGTTAGGCTTCATTTGTTTGACTAATTTGGGGCATGCTTTGTAGCTCAGGCTGACTTCGAATGCTCAGTTCCTCTGCCTCAGCCTTCTGTATGCTGAATTGCATGTATCACCACGTCTCGCTTGTTTAATTTTTAAATATGCAAGTGATCACTACAGCTTATCTTTTTTCTCTCTCTCTCTCAACCACCCAAATAAAATCAAGATGTGGTCTGCAATATCAGAGGCAGAGGATTGTCGCAAGTCTGAGGACTGCTTGGTATACATAGTGAGTCACCAGGCAGCCAAGGCTACATAGTGAAACCTTGTCTTTGGAAAAAAAAATCAGGAGATCATTATTAGATCTTTCTCTGTGAGAAATGAAAACCTAGCCAGTTCCATAGACTGGGTATTAGGGACCATTTAACCCTCCTACAGGGCTTGGGATATAACTCAGCAGCAGAGTGCTTACTAACATGCACAGGGGAACGAATTTGATCCCCAGCACTCCAAAAGAGGGAAAACAAATGTACTGGCTAGTTTTAGGTCAGCTTGATATAGCTGGAGTCATCTTAGAGGAGGGAATGTCAATTAAGAAAATGCCTCCAGAAGATCGGGCTGTAAGCACTCAAGCTTATAGGACATTTTCTTATTTAGAGATTGATGGGGGAGGGCCCAGCCCATCATGGGTGGTGCCATCCCTGGCCATGTGGCCCTAGGTTCTATAACAATGGTTCTCAACCTTCCTAATGCTGCAGCCCTTTAATACAGTTTCTCATGTTGTGGTGACCCCCAACCATAAAATCATTTTCATTGCTACTTCATAACTTGTATTCATAACTTGCTATGGTTATGAATCATAATATAAATAGCTGTGTTTTATGATGGTCTTAGGCAACCCTATGAAAGGTCATTCAATCCCAAAGGGGTTGAGACCCTCAGGTTGAGAACTGCTGTTTTATAAGAAAATAGGCTGAGCAAGCCATGGTGGACGAGACAGTAAGCAGCATCCCTCCATGGCCTCAGCATCAGCTCCTGCCTCCAGACTGCTCCCCTGTCTGAGTTCCTGTCCTGACTTTCCTCGGTGATGAACTGTGATATGGAAACATAAGCCGAATAAACCCTTTCCTCCCCAACTTGCTTTGGTCATGGTGTTTAATCTCAGCAACAGTAACCCTAACTAAGACACCAAAGAAATCAGAAAACCTTCTTCCAGGCAGATTCGAACTTCGGTGGTTCCGATTTTTCCGTAAGCAAACTGTGACTC